TTTATTCTTTTCCACTGTTCTATTTGTCCCTGCCAATGCCACAAGGTTTTAATTACACAGGATTCATTGTGAGTGTGTATGTGTACATATATATATATATATATATATATTCTTTTAATTAAGCAAGCTCTGTGTACAATGTGGGGTTTGAACTCATGACCCTGAAATCAAGAGTTGCATGCTCTACAAATTGAGAGCACCCCAGAGGCTTTATAATCGATTTCATTTTTTTTCATAATATATTTTAATGACTGATAGGGTTATTCAACCCTTACAATTTCTCTTTTTAAGTATTTTCCTGGATATTTCTAAATCAGTTTTATTGGGACACCTGAGTGGCAGTCAGTTAAGCATCTTGGTTTCAGTGCAGGTTATGCCCTCAGGATCCTAAAATTGAGCCCTGAGTCTGCTCTGTGCTCAGCACAGACTCTGCTTGAGATTCTCTCTCCCTCTCCTTCTGCCCCTCCTGCTCCTGCTCTCTTTCTCTCTCAAATAAACAAACCTTTAAAAATAATATAACCAGTGTTATTGGGCTAGAACTCATATCCTGTACAATTTACTCATTTAAAATACAAATGGTGGTTTTTAGTACACTTGCCGGATTGAGAATCCAATTTTAGGACATTTCTCCACATCCAAAAGAAACTCTGTACCCATTAACAGTTGTCTCCTATTCTCCCCCCTCCCTTTACTAGCCCTAAACCGTTAATCTATTTACAATCTATAAATTCGTCTATGTGGACATTTTCTATAATTGGAACCATAAAATATGTGATCTTTTGTGACTGGCTTCTTTCACATAGCACATTTCCAAGAGTGATTCATCCTGTAGCACATATCAATACTTCCTTTCTTTATACTGTCAAATAATGTTCCATCATATGGATATATGACATTTGTTTATCATCAGTTGATGGATATCAGGACTGTTTCCACTTTTTAGCTATTATGACTAATGCTGCTAATAACATTCATATATAAATGTTTGTGCCCACTTCTGTCTTCAACTCTCTTGAGTTTATACCTAGAGTGGAATCGCTAGATCATATTATAACTATATTTAACCATTTAAGAAACTGGCAGATGGTTTTCAAAGTGTCTGTGCTGTTTGACATTCCTAACAGCAGGGATATGGGTTTCAACTTTTCCATTTCCTCACCAATAATTGTTATTTTCTCTTATTACTGCATCTTAGTGATCTCATGATTTTGATTTACATTTCTCTAATGACTAATAATGTTGAACATCTTTTAGTGTACCTATTGGCCGTTTATAGATCTGTTTTTGGACAAATTCCATTCATATCCTCTGCCCATTTTTAAAAGTAGGTTATTTCTCTTTTTACTATTGAGGAGTAAGAGTTCTTTGTATATTAGGGATAGAAGTCCTTATCAGATATATGATTTGCAAAAAGTTTTTCCCATTTTGTGAGTTGTCTTTCTGCTTTCTTGATAATATCTGCAGCAAAATAAAAAAAGTTTTAAACTTTGCATAGCCCTATATACGTATGTGTGTATGTATGTCATTTGAGCTTTGGGTGTCATATTTAAGAAAACATTGCCTAACCCAAAGTAACTACGATTTACTGTTTTCATCTAGGAGTTTTATAGCTTTGTTAGCTCTTATAGTTAGGTTTATGAATTTTTAAAGATTTTATAAAAATGTATTAGAGATACAGAATCAGAGAGAGAGAGAGAGAGAGCACACAAGCCAGGGAGGAACAGAGGGAGAGGGACAAGCAGACTCCACGCTGAGCCTGATACAGGGTTTGATCTCACAACCCTGAGATCATGACCTGAGTTGAAATCAAGAGCTGGATGCTTAACCAACTGAGCCACCCAAGCGCCCCGTATTTTTAATTAATTTTTATGTATGTCGTGAGGTAGGATCCCAACTTCATTCTTTTGCATATCCAGCATCATATCCCAATACCATTTGTTGAAAAGACTATTAATTCCCATTTAATTTCCTTAGGACCTTTACTAAAAGTCAATTGACAATTATTCTGGGTATTTTTGCATGTTTGTATTTCCACATGAACCCTAAAATCTGCTTGTCTAACTCAATGAAACAACTTGTTAGGATTTTTATTAAAATTGCATTGATTTAATAAATTAACTTGGGAGGATTAACATCTTTAGGATGTTGAATCATCATATTCAAGAGCAAGGGATGTTTTACCATTTCCTTAAATCTGCTTTAGTGTCTTTTAGGAGTGTTTTATTTTATTTTATTATTATTTTTTTTAATGTGTGAAACTTCAGAGAAGTTTTTTTTTTTTTTGTATATTTTTTCATTGGAGTTTGATTTGTCAACATATAGAATAACACCCAGTGCTCAGCCCGTCAAGTGCCCCCTTCAGTGCCCATCACCCAGTCACTCCACCCTGCCCACCTCCCTTTCCACTACCCCTTGTTCGTTTCCCAGTTAGGAATCTCTCATGTTTTGTCACCTTCACTGGTATTTCCCACTGATATTTCCCCCTTTCCTCTATAATCCCTTTCACTATTTTTTATATTCTCCGTATGAATGAAATCATATAATGATTGTCCTTCTCCATTTGACTTACTTCACTCAGCATAATACCCTCCAGTTCCATCCACGTCGAAGCAAATGGTGGGTATTTGTCATTTCTGATGGCTGAGCCATACTCCATTGTATACAAAGACCACAGCTTCCTTATTCATCATCTGTCGATGGACACCGAGGCTCCTTCCACAGTTTGGCTTTTAGGAGGATTTTAAATTTGTTTTATGCCTTTCTTAATAAATTTATTCCTAAACATTTAATCCTTCATGTCGCTATTGTAAATGGGCTTTTCTCTAACATTATGTCCAGTTTAAGCTATTTCTATATATGAAAGCTGATTTTTGTATGTTAATTTTAAATCCTGATCCTTCATTGAATTCTTTTACTGTAGGAGTTAGTTTTATCATTGATTCTCTGGAGTCCAGTTACACTATGATCTGCAAATAGATACTGTTCTACTTGTTCTTTTTTTTTTTAAGATTTTATTTATTCATGAGAGACACAGAGAGGGGGGTGGGCAGAGACAGAAGCAGGCTCCATGCAGGAAACCTGACGTGGGACTCGATCCTGGGTCTCCAGGATCACGCCCTGGGCTGAAGGTGGCACTAAACTGCTGAGCCATCCGGGCTGCCCTGTACTTATTCTTTACCCATTTTTATGTCTCTTATTTATTTCTCTTATTTGTCTTGGCTAATTTACCTTTAACATAATGCTGAACGATAGTGAAGATAGTGAGGATGCTTGTCTTGTTCCTGACATGAATGGAAATTCCTGTAGTGTTTCCCCATTTATATAAGATACTAGGGATGCCTGGGTAGCTCAGTGGCTGAGCATCTACCTTTGGTTCAGGTCATGATCCCGGGGTCCTGGGATCGAGTCCCATGTTGGGCTCCCACATGGAGGCTGTTTCTCCCCCTGCCTGTGTCTCTGCCTCTCTCTCTGTGTCTCTCATGAATGAATGAATGAATGAATGAATAAATAAATAAATAGATAAGATACTAGCTTTAATGCTAAGATATATACTTCATCAAATTAAAAAAGTATTCTTCAAATCCTATTTTCTTGAGTTTCTCTATCATGGATGGGTACTTAATTTTGTCAAAGGTTTTCTCAGTATCTACAGAGATTACCTTATTATTTTTTCTTTATATTTATTAACATGGTATATGATACTAATAGGTTTTCTTATATTGTACCAATCCTGCATTCCTGGAATAAATCCTGCCTTAGAATTTCTGCCTCTGTTTTTCTCTCTGCCTAGAATTTGCTTTCCCTAGTTTTCATGTCTAGCCCCTTCATCTATTCAGACCTTATAAAATATCTCCTCCTCAGAAATGCATTCCCTGGACCACTCAATCAAGAGTAGCCTTCCAGTTAACCTCTAGGGCAGTACCCTATTTTAATTTCCTACCTAGCACTTATCATGAGCTGGTATTTTCCCCACATATCCCATATGTATATTCCTATGCACACACCTTCAACCACTATGACGGTACTAAAGCTGTCTTAGAAGTAGATTACTGTATGCCCAAGATATATAGTGCCTGGCATATGTTAGGCACTCAATAATTGTTTGTAATAAATCTTCTACCATTTTGGATTCACTACTGTTACGTGATTTATTACAGGAGTAACAAAAACCCACCTCTGAATACACTTATGGTATAAATCTAGATTTCTCAACTTTAAAGAGAAAGCTAAAAACTCAAACAAGGGGATGCCTGGGTGGCTCAGCAGTTTAGCGCCTGCATTTGGCTCAAGGCATGATCCTGGAGTCCTGGGATCGAGTCCCGCATCGGGCTCCCTGCGTGGAGCCTGCTTCTCCCTCTGCCTGTGTCTCTGCCTCTCTCTCTGTGTCTCTCAGGAATAAATATATAAAATCTTTAAAAAAAAAAAAATAAAAACTCAAACAAAATTGAAGTGCACATTTTTTTAGATAGTCTAAATCAGCGAATCAAAAAAAATTACTAGTACTTTAAAAAACTGTAATACCGGGTGGCTCAGTGGTTTAGTGCTGCCTTCAGCCTACGGTGTGATCCTGGAGACCCGGGATCAAGACCCACGTCAGGCTCCCTGCATGGAGCCTGCTTCTTTCTCTGCCTGTGTCTCTGCCTCTGTGTGTGTGTGTCTCTCATGAATAAATAAATAAAATCTTTAAAAAAAAAACCTGTAATATTAAAATCAGGGTTCTCTTTCTTCCAACTAACATTATCTAATTAAAATATCTCATTAAAATTTGCTACAAAATTTATTAATAAAGGACTTAACATTTAAATTGGATAAAGAAAAAAAAATCAATGTAAATGACTAATTGTACCTAATAGAAACCAAAGACATACTTCAATAGACTTTAGTATTACAATTCTCCCAGCCAAAAAGAAAAAAAAACCTCACAAAAATTAATTTTAACTTTATATAATGGAAACCATAAAAGACAGAAAAGTGATAAACTCTCTCAATTTCTCAATTACCTGTAAAAGGTGATGATTTCTCTGAGTGTTTTACTTTTAGAAGTTTCCTATTAATAAATACGTAACCACAGGGACAAGATTTACATGCAACAGGAACCTGGAGGGGGGAAAAAAGGAAAAAAAAAATGTTACTATTTTACTATTTACTGAACTTCTAAAGTGTTTATGTGGTCTCTTCAACTCAACAATAAGTTACTTGAAGGTAGAGATTATTTTAATTTAAACTCCACATCTTGGGCAGCCCTGGTGGCGCAGTAGTTTGGCGCCGCCTGTGGCCTGGGGTGTGATCCTGGAGACCCGAGGTCGAGTTCCATGTCGGGCTCCCTGCATGGAGCCTGCTTCTCCCTCTGCCTGTGTCTCTGCCTCTCTCTCCCTGTGTCTATGAATAAATAAATAAAATCTTTAAAAAAAATAAACTCCACATCTTCATAAAAACGATTTGAGATAGGAAATCATACCCCTCCCACTCTCCTAGTCCTTTACAGCACCATGCATATGGTAAATATTTAATAACACTAATGTAAGCGGCTACAGGAAGTATGTCAAGTAAAAAACTATTTCCTAAAATGTCAGTCTCAGAATAGTTACAATGTGGGTTAGACTAGAAAAAAGGTTAGGAAATTATTACATTAATCCCAGGATGAGAGGCTGTTGTCCTGTTCTGGGATGCTGGCAGGGGAATGCATCCCCCCCCGCCCCCCGAAAAAAAACAAACAATATATTTGACAGACGTTTTAAAGGGAGAAAGATATAAGTCTTGGACACAAATTCATTACTAATCATAAAATAGAACTAAAAACTTATAATTTAGGGGATCCCTGGGTGGCTCAGTGGTTTAGCGTCGCCTTGAGCCCTGGGCCTGATCCTGGGGTCCCGGGATCGAGTCTCATGTAGGGTTCCCTGCATGGAGCCTGCTTCTCCCTCTGCCTGTGTCTCTGCCTCTCTCTGTCTCTCATAAATGAGTAAATAAAATCTGTAAAAATTTAAAATAAAAACTTGTGATTTATATTTTAGCCCATCAGTTATTTCAGAGTACGTTGTTTAATTTCTACAAATTTTTGAAATTTCTAGTTTTCCTTTCTGTTGTTGATTTCCAACTTCATCCTGTTGTGGTTGGAAAAGATACTTTGAACGATATTGGTCTCAAAAAATGAACTTTGATTCTGACCTTATTCCATATACAAATATTTCAAGATGGACTGTAGACCTACATAAAACATTTTAAACTAGAAAACTTCTAGAAAATACTTAATAAAAAATCTGCCTTCAAGAGTTTGAACATGAGAGAGGAAGAGGGCCAGGATCAATTACTGGAAAAGGATTATTTATTTACAATTGCCAGTTTGAGGGAGACTACAAAATAGGTGCTAGACATAGGTTCTCCCAGGCTCCTGTAGAGGAAAGACCCGGAACAGATCTCATTTGCCTGGCAGGTTTCTGTTTTCTTTTCTAAGGTCTTTACTACCTGAAGTAGTCTGTGTTCTTAAGAGTTTTAAGTAAAAAAATGATTATGTCATTTACCAGCTTTATTAAGTTATAATTAACATACAATAAACTATACATATTTAAAACGTACTATTGGACAGGTTTTGACAACTGTGTATGCCCATGAAACTGTCACCACCATCAGTATAGTGAATATATCCATCATCCCTAAGTTTCCTCATACACCATGTAATCTACCCTCTTACCTCTCCTTAGCATCCCCTTCAATATCCCCAAGCAGCTACTGATCAGCTTTCTGAATTTTCTAGAGTTTTATATAAACGGAATCATAAATACATGCTTTTTTTGTTTAGCTTCTTTCCCTTAACATAAATATTTTGAGATTTGTCCATGCTTTTGAATGTAACAAGCTCATTCGTTTTATTGCTGAATATTATTCCATGTAAAGATAAACCTCAGTGTATCTGTACATGTTGACTGTTTCCAGGCTTAAGCTATTACAAATAAAGCTCCTATGAACTTTCATGGAAAAGTCTTTATATATATATGTGTATATACACACACACACATTTTTTCTTTAATAAATAGCTAAATAGCTTTTTTCTTGAATAAATAGCTAAAAGTGGAAATGGCTGGATCATATGGTAGGTTTTTTAAAAAGAAAGCTGCTAAACTATTTCCCAAAGTGGTTGTACCATTTTACATTCCCGCCAGCAGAGGATGAGACGTCCATTTCCTCCATATCCTCATCAATACTCGGTATGTTCTTTTTAACTTTAGTTATTCCCATACGATCTCACTGTGGTAATACGCGTATCCCTAATGACTAATGATGTCGGGCATTTTTCTATGAGCTTATTTGCTGTTAAGTCTACTCTGGTCAAATGTCTATTCAAATTTTTGCCTTTTAATTGGTTTTTTTTTATTATTAACGTTTGAGAGCTCTTTATATATTCTGGATACAAGTCTTCTATTACATACATGCTTTGCAAAGCTTGTTATTGGTTCATGTCTTTCCTTTTTCTTTTTTTTGTCTTTCCTTTTTCTAAACAGTGATTTTCAAAGAACAGAAGTTTAATTTTGATTAAGTCCAATTTATCATTTTCTTCTTTTATGGGTCATGCTTTTGGTGTTGCAACACCAAACAAATGCCTAACTTAAGTTCACAAAGATTTTTTAGTATTTTCTAGAAGTTTCATAGTTTAAAATTTTTCATGTAGATCTACAATCCTTCTTGAAATATTATTTGTATATGGCACAGGTAAGAATTAAAGTTCATTTTTAAGGAATTATTTATTTGAGAGAGAGAGAGAAAGCAGGGGGGAGGGGCAGAGGAAGAAGGAGAGAGAAACTTAAGCAGATTCTACACTCAGAGCAGAGCCTGACATGGGACTCGATTTTATGACCCCAAGATCATGACCTAAGCCAAAACCAAAAGTCAGATGCTTAAATGACTGTGCCACCCAGGTGCCTTAAGTTCATTTTTTAAGACAGTGTATCATTCAAAGTATCTTCTCCAACCACAACAGGACCAAGTTAGAAATTAACATCAAAAAGGAAAACTAGAAAATTCAAAGCATTTTAGAAATTAAACAATATACTCTGAAATAACCAATGGATCAAAAAAGAACTCATAGGGATCCCTGGGTGGCTCAGCGGTTTAGTGCCTGCCTTTGGCCCAGGGCGCGATCCTGGAGTCCTGGGATCGAGTCCCACGTCGGGCTCCCAGCATGGTGCCCGCTTCTCCCTCTGCCTGTGTCTCTGCCTTTCTCTCTTCTCTCTGTGACTATCATGAATAAATAAATAAAAAATCTTAAAAAAAAAAGAACTCATAAGGAAAATTAGAAAATCGTAGAGATGAATGAAAAAAAATACAACCTATCAATCATAGGACACAGTGAAAGCGATGTTACGGAGGAAAGTTATATAGCTGTAAATGCTTACATTAAGAAAGAAGAAAGATCTCAAATCAACAACCTAACTTTACAACTTAAGCAATTAGAAAAAGAAGAGCAAATGAAACCCAAGCCAGCATAAAGAAGGAAATAATAAAGATTAGAGATAAACAATATAGAGAATAGAGAAACAAAACCAGTGAAACAAAAGTTGGGTTTTTTTTTTTTTTTTTGAAAAGATGAACAAAACTGACAAGGCTTTTCCTAGAGATCAAAAAAAAAAAAAAAAAGAGAGAGAGAGATTTAATTACAGACATACCTCATTTTATTGCACTTTGCTTCATTGTGCTTCACAGATACTCTAGGTTTTACATATTGAAGGTTTGTGGCAATGCTTCATGGAGCCAGGCTATCAGCACCATTTTCCAATAGCATTTGCTCACTTTGTGTCTTTATCATATTATGGTAATTTTTGAAATACTTCCAACTCTTTCACTATTATCCTGTTATGGTGATCCATGATCTTTGATGTTAGTATTTTCATCATTTTGGACTGCCTATACAAGACCCATACAAGACCACAAAACTTAATAAATGTGTGTATCCTGAATGCTCTACCAATTGGCCATTCCCCTATCTATGTCCCTCTCCTCAGGCCTCTCTGTACCCTAAGACAAGGAAATATTGACATTAGGCCAGGTAATAACCCTACAGTGGCCTTTAAGTATTCAAGTTAAAGGAAAAAGCACACATCTCTCATTTTAAATCCAAAGCTAGAAATGAGTAAGCTTAGTAGGAAAGCCATGTCAAAAGCCAAGAAAGGCCTCTTACACCAAAGAGTCAGCCAAATTATAAACACAAAGGAAAATTTCTTGAAGGAAATGGCTCACTCCAGTGAACACACGAATGATAAGAAGGTGAAACAGCCTTATAGTTAATTTGCAGAAAGTTTTAGGGGGCTGGAAAAAGATCAAACCAGCCACCACATTCCCTTAAGCCAAAGTCTAACTCAGGGCAAGGCCCTAATTCTATTCAATTCTATGAAGGCTGAGAGAGGTGAGGAAGTTGCAGAAGAAAAGTCTGGTTGCATGAAGTTGGTTTGTGAGGCTTAAGGAATGAAGCGGCCTCCATAACCTAACAGTGCAAAGTGAAGCAGCAAGTGCTGACAGAGAAGCTGCAATAAGTCACCCAGAAGACCCAGCTAAGATAACTAATGAAGGTGTCTACACTGAGTAATAGAGTCTCAATGTAGATGAAACAGCCTTATATTTGAAGAAGATGCTACCTATGACTTTCACAGCTGGAGAGAAGTCAGTGCCTGGCCTCAAAGCTTCAAAGGACGGGCCGATTCTCTTGCAGGGGTTAATGCATCTGTGGCTTTAAGTTGAAGCCAAAGCTCATTTACCATTCCAAGATCCTAGGGCTCCTAAGAAATATGCTAAATCTGCCTATGTTCTATTAATGGGAAAACAAAACCTAGATGATAGTACATCTGTTTACAACATGGCTTATTAAATATTTTAAGCCCACTATTAAGACCTACAGTGGAGAAAGAAAGGTTCCTTTCAAAATGTCACTGTTCATGGACATGGCACCTGGTCATCCAAGAGCTCTGGCGAGGTACAATGAAGCTATGTTGTTTTCATACCTGCGAACACAACATCCATTCTGCAGCCTATGGATCAAGGAACAATTTTAAGTCTTCTTATTTAAGAAATACATTTTGTAAGGCTACAGATCCCTAAATAGTGATTCCTCTGATGAATCTACACAAAATAGATTGAAAATCTCCTGGAAAGAATTCACCATTCTGCACACTATCAAGAATAGTCATGATTCAGGGGTCCCTGGATAGCTCACTCGGTTAAGGATCTACCTTTGGCTCAGGTCATGGTCCCAGGGTCTTGGGATTGAGCCCTCACCAGGCTCCCTGCTCAGTGGGGGAGTCTGCTTCTCCCTCTCTCTCCCCCTCTACCACTCCCCCCTGCTTGTGCTCTCCTGCAAGTGCTCTCTCTCAAATAATAAAATCTTAAAAAAAAAAAAAAAAAAGAACATTTGTGATTCCTGGGAAGAGGTAAAAATATCTACAGGAGTTTGGAAGAAGTTCATTCCAGACTTCATGGGTGACTCTGAGAGGTTCAGAAGTAAATACAAGATGTGACAGAGAACTAGAATCAGAAGTGGAGCCTGCAGATGGTCTGAATTGCTGCAATCTCATAATTTTAATGGATGGGGAGTTGCTTCTTATGGATGAGCAAAGAAAGTGGTTTCTCCAGATGGAATCTATCCTGGTGAAGATGCTGTGAAGACTGTTGAAATGACATCAAAGGATTTAGAATATTACATAAACTTAGTTGATAAAGGAACACAGTTTGAAAGGACTGACTCCAATTTTGAAACAAGTTTTACTGCGGGTGAATGCTAACAGTATTGCATGCTGCAGAGGAACTGGGAAAGGAAGAATCAATCAACGACGGCAAACTTCACTGCTCTTTTACATCAAGAAATCGCCACAGTCACCCCAACCCTTAGCACCACTACCCCGATCAGTCAACAGCCGTCGACATCAAGGCAAAACCCTCCACAAGCAAAAAGATCACAACTCACTGAAGGCTCGGATGATGGTTAACATTCTTCAGCAGTGAAGTATTTTTTAGCTACGGTATATACATTGTTCTGTTAGACACAAAGCTACTGCATACTGAATAGACTGATGGTGTAATAGAGCTTTTATGTGCCCTGGAGAACCAGAAATTTCATTTGACTTGCTTTATTGCAATATTTACGTATTTCACACACTCTAGGGTGACAATTTTTTCACAGGGTTACATTAGTTTCAGGTGTACCACACAGTGATCCGACAATCCTATGCATGACTCGGTGCCCACCGTAAGTGTGCCCTTAATCCCGCTCACCTATTTCCCATCTCAACTGCCTCCCCTCCGGCAACCATCAGTTTGTTCTCTATAGTCTGTTTTTTGGTTTTTCTCTTTTCCTTCCTCATTTGTTTCTTAAATTCCACATGAGTGAAAGTATACAATATTTGTCTTACTCCAACTGACTTATTTCCCTTAGCATTACACTCTAGCTCCATTCATGCTGTTGCAAATGGCTAGATTTCATTCTTTTTTATGACTAATATCTCATTGTGTATATGTGCCACTTCTTTATCCATTCATTGACTGGTGGACACTTGGGCTGCTCCCACATCTTGGCCACTGTAAATACTACTGCAATAAGCACAGGGGTGCATGTACCTCTTCGAATTAGTGTTGGTTTTTCTTTTTTTTTTTTTTTTTGTATTTTAGGGGTACTCAGTAGTGCAATCACTGGATCATAGGGTAGTTCCGTTTTTAAGTTTTGTGTTTTTTTTAAGATTTTTGAAAATTTATTCATGAGAGACACACGGAGGCAGATACTTAGGCAGAGGGAGAAGCAGGCTCCCCATGGGGAGCCCAATGCAGGACTCGATCCCAGGACCCTGGGATCACGACCTGAGCCAAAGGCAGACGCTCAACCATGGAGCCACACAGGCATCCCCCATCTTTAAGTTTTTGAGGACCCTCCACACTGTTTTCCAAGTGGCTGTACCCATCTGAAATCCCACCAACAGTACACGAGGGTTCCCCTTTCTCCACATCCCCACCAACACTTGTTTCTTGTTTTTTATTCTAGCCATTGTGACAGGTAGGAGAGGATAACTCACTGTAGATTTGATTTGCGTTCCTCTGATGATGAGTGATGTTGAGCATCTTTTCATGCACTGGCTGGTCATCCGGATGTCTTCATTGGAGAAATGTGTTGTCTTCTACCCTCTTTTTAATTGAATTATTTGTTTTGGGGCTATTGAGTTGTATCAGTTCTTTATATATTTGGATACTAACTCTCTATCAGATATTTCATTTGCAAATATCTTTTCCCATTAAGTTATCTTATAGTTTTGTCGATTGCTTCCTCTCCTATGCAGCTTTTAATTTTGATGTAGTCCCAATAGTTTATTTTTGCTTTTGTTTCCTCTGTCAGAAGACCTATCTAGAAAAATGCTGCTATGGCCAATGTCAGAGACATTACTGCTTGTGTGCTCTCTTCTGGGATCTTTATGGTTTCAGGCCTCCTATTTAGGTTACTCATCTATTTTGAGTTTTTGTGCAAGGTGTCAGAAAGTGGTCTGGTTTCATTCTTTTGCATGTAGCTGTCCCAACAGCTACTTGCTGAAGAGACTGTCTTTTTCCAACTGCATATTCTTGCCTCCAGTGTTGAAGATTAATTGACCATATAATCGTCGGTTTGTTTCTGAGTTCTCTATTCTGTTCCATTGATCTGTGTCTATTTTTTTTTAAAGATTTTATTTATTTATTCATGAGAGACACAGAGAGAGGCAGAGACACAGGCAGAGGGAGAAGCAGGCTCCATGCAGGGAGCCCGACGTGGGACTCGATCCCAGAACTCTGGGATCACGCCCTGAGCTGAAGGCAGATGTTCAACTACTGAGACACCCAGGCATCCCTGTGTCAGTATAATGTTTTAATTACTACAGCTCTGTAGTCTATCTTGAAATCTAGGATTGTGATACCTCACAGTTTTGTTCTTTTCAAGATTACTTTGGCTACTTGGTCTTTTGTGGTAGAACAAACTTTGGGATTGTTTTAGCTCTGAAAATGCTCTTGGTATTTTGATAGGGACTGCATTAAATCTGTAGATTGCCTTAGGCAGGGCAGACATTTTTACAATATTGGTTCTCAGTCCATGAGCATGGAATCCTTTCCATTTGTTTGTGTCCCCTTCAATTTCTCTCATAAGTGTCTTATAGTTTTCAGAATACAGATCTTTTTTTAAAAAAAAGATTTATTTATATATATATATATAGAGAGAGAGAGACAGAGACATAGGAGGAGGGAGAAGCAGGCTCCATGCCTGGAGCCCGATGTGGGACTTGATCCCGGGACCCCAGGATTGTGCCCTAGGCCAAAGGCAGGCGCTAAACCGCTGAGCCACCCAGAGATCCCCTAGAGTACAGATCTTTCACACTTCCTTAGTTAAGTTTATTCCTAGATATTTTATTATTTTGGCCATTGTAAACAGACTGTTTTCTTAATTTCACTGTTTCATTAATATATAGGAATGCAACAGAAGGGCACCTGGGTGGCAGCCCTGGTGGCGCAGCAGTTTAGTGCCTCCTGCAGCCCCGGGGTGTGATCCTGGAGACAGGGGATCGAGTCCCACGTCCGGCTCCCTGCATGGAGCCTGCTTCTCCCTCTGCCTGTGTCTCTGCCTCTGTGTCTCTCGTGAATAAATAAACAAAAATCTTAAAAAAAAAAACAAACTTCATGGGATTATGACATGTCAGTAAAGGATTAACCAAAGTCCTTCTGGAGAAAATAGACCTTTGGTGAAGTTCGGCACTCCGACCCTGTCGGCCTAATCAGGTAATGTTACTAGACGGTATTGCTCGCGGTAAAAATGGCCCCTTATTGGCATCTGAGCGGGAATCCGGGCACCTGGTGAGGGGCAACAGCTTCAGGCTCCCCAAGCACAGGAAGTACAAGCGGGCCTTTCCCTGCAAAACCCTGGAGGCAGCGGCCTCCCTCCTGGGCTCCGCAACGGGGCTTCTAGGCCGCGGGCAGTCTCATTCTCAAGGCCGCGCTGCCGTCTGGGCCCACGAGGGGGCGCCCGGGGCGTGAGCACCTGCGAGCGCGCACCTGCGAGCGCGCACCTGCGAGCGCGCACCTGCGAGCGCGCACCTGCGAGCGCGCACCTGCGAGCGCGCACCTGCGAGCGCGCACCTGCGAGCGCGCGATGCTCTTCCGAGTCCACGCAGGTTTTCCAGCTGGGCCAGGGCTGGGCCTCGGGGGCTGGCTGAGCCCTGGACCGCGCGTGGCCTTGGTTCATAAAGTAGACACTAAATGTTCAAGGTAAATTCACCTTTTTGAAGCCAGACAACGACCTACCATTCACAGAGGGGGAGCCTAGAGAAACTGCGCCTTCGGAGGACAAGCGCAGGTCACCGGGTCACGCGGGGCACCGCCGAGCGCGCCGAGGTCGCCCCCTCCCGGCCTCCAGCAGGTCACTGCGTCGTCGCGGCGGGAACAAAGGGGCCGCCGGGCTCCCGGGCGGAGGGCGCGGCCGTGCTCGGCCCCAGGCCCGGTCACCGGGCGACCCCCCGTGACCCCCGCGCCCCCGCCGCCAGGTGGGCACCGGCCGGACCGCGCCCCCGTGACCCCCGCGCCCCGGGCCGCCCCCGCCCGGCCCCCACCTGCTGGTCGCACTCGGGGCACGACTTGGTGGCCATCTTCACTTTCTTGGCTCGACTCGCAGACATGCTCCCCTCCTGCAAGGCGGCGGCGGCGGCGGCGGCCCGGGCTCCTCCCCTCCGGCCTCCGCGGCCCAGCCTCCACCCGCCCGCTCCCCGCGGCCCGGACCAAGGCTCAGGCGGGGGCGCGCGCGTGCGCGGAGACTGCGTGCCGGGGGGCGGGGCGCGGCGTGGGCCTGCGCAGCCACGCCCCCTCCCGGCCGGCGGACGGCGCGGGGGCGGGGCCTGGGCGGGGCGCGGCCGGAACGAGCGTCGGGCTGGACCAACGAACGCGCGGGGGGCGGGGGCGAGGCGCTGGACACGCCCCCGGGGGCGGGGCCTAGCGACGGGGTGGGCGGGTCGGCTCAGAGCGCAGGTGGGGGCCTGGCCTGACGCGCGGAGGTGAGCGGCTCGGGCCGGACGGGATGGGCGGACACCTGCCCGGGCTCGGCGCTGAGACCTGGGTCCGCCGTGCAGTCCGATAGTCACCGAAGGCCGATTCTGCCGGACAAATGTGAACACCTGATGGGTTTCACACTGAACTGCTCAGAAAGGAAGGACACCAAAAAGGCAGGGAGCCTTGAAGGATGGAAGGAGGAGGGAAGACGAATGGAAAGAAAGGAGGAGGGAAAAGTTACTTACTGTTACAGCTAACGTTGATTTTTTTTAGTTGCAGGATATGCAGACTACAATATCTTTTTTTAAAAAAATACAACAGTTTTAGATTCCGAAAAATTAAGCAGAAGGTGCACAGATTTCCCACACACAGGGCTTTCCCACGGTCAAAATCTGGCAACAGAATAATATATTTATTATGATCAGTGAACCCACATCCGCACACCGTTGTCACCCAAAGCTCAGCTTACCTTCAGCTCATTCTTGGTGTCGTACCTTCCACGGGTTTGGATAATGTGTAGAGATTCTAGAGATTTATAAGTGTCACCCAGAATAGTTTCACTGCCCATAAGAATCTCTCGTGTTCCGTTCTTCCCCCCTCCCCCTTCACCCTCAGCACCCACTGATGTTTTTTTTTTTTTCTGACTCCTTCATTTTTGCCTTTTCCAGAAGGTCATGTAGTTGGGATCCTCCAGTATGTAGATTTCTCAGATTGGCTCCTTTCACTGAGTAACATGCATGAAAGTTTGCATTGAAGTTTTCTCCATGTCTTTTCAGGGCTCGATAGCTCATTTATTTTTCGTGCTGCATAATAATCAATCATCTGGATGCACCACAGCTTATTTTTCCCTTCACTCATTGAGGGACATCTTACCTGCTTCTGAGTTTTGGCAATTATGAATTAGGCTGATACAGACATCCACGTACAGATTTTTGTATGAACATACATTTTTAAGTCACTTGGGTAAATGCCAATAAGCACGATCACTGGATCACACACCCAGAGTGTGTTTAGTTTTGTAAGAAACTGCCGAACAGGGGCAGCCGGGTGGCTCAGTCGGTAAAGTATCTGCCTTTGGTTCAGGTTATGATCCCAGGGTCCTGGGGTCCAGGCCCATGTCGGCCTCCCTGCTCGGCGAAGGATCTGCTCTTCCTCTCCCTCTGCCCACCCACCCATTTGTGTGCTCACTCATGCTTGCTGTCTCTTTCTCTCTGTATCTCCCTCTTTCTCAAATAAAATCTTTTTAAAAACAAAAGAAACGACCCTGCCAAACTGCTTTCCGAAGTGGCTATACCATTTTGCATTCCCACCAGCAATGAGTAAGAGTTCTTGCTGCTGTACATCCTCACCAGCATTTGGGATCGTCAATGTCATGGAAGTTAGCTATTCTAACAGATGTTTAGAATTTCATTGGTTTTATTAGATGGTCTCATTCATTTGGGGAATATAAAAAATAGTGAAAGGGAATAAAGGGGAAAGGAGAAAAAATGAGTGCGAAATATCAGAAAGGGAGACAGAACATGAAAGACTCCTAACTCTGGGAAACAAACTAGGGGTGGTGGAAGGGGAGGAGGGCGGGGGGTGGGGGTGACTGGGTGACGGGCACTGAGGGGGGCACTTGAGGGGATGAGCACTGGGTGTTATTCTATATGTTGGCAAATTGAACACCAATAAAAAATAAATTTATATAAAAAAAGAATTTCATTGGTTTAATTTGCATTTCCTTAATGACATATCAAGTGGCTTTAGGCTTCATTTGTTGTTCTTTTTCTAATATAATAAAGACTACACCTAAAGGAGCAGGATTAGGTTGTTTATCAGAGATTTTTCTTGCTTCTTAAAGTAAGCCTGTGTTGCTATATACTTTCCTTTTGGAACTGTTGCATCCCAGACATTTGGACCATTGTATTTGTATTTTCATTTTCATTTATTTCCCTGGTTATTTTTTCCCATTTCTTCTTTGATTTCCTGGTCGACTCATTCATTGTTTAGTAGCATGTTGTTTAACCTCCATGTATTTATGGTCTTTCTTAATTTTTTCTTGTAGCTGGCTTCAAGTTTCATGGTGTCGTAGTTAGAAAAGATGCATGGAGTGATCTCAATCTTTTTGTATTTGTTGAAGCCTGATCTGTGACCCAGTATGTGATCTATTCTGGAGAACGTTACATGTGCACTTGAAAAGAACGTATATTCTGCTGTTTTAGGATGAAATGTTCTGAATATATCTGTTGAGTCCATCTGGTCCAGTGTGTCATTCAAAGTGTTTCCTTGTTGATTTTCTGTTTAGATTATCTGTTCATTGCTGTAAGTGGGATGTTAAAGTCCCTATTATTATTATCTTATTATCAGTAAGTTTATTTATGTTTGTTATCATCGTTTTATATATTTGGGTGTCCTCATGTTGGGTGCATAAATATATACATTTGTAAGATCTTCTTATGGGCTGTCCTTCTTATTATCACCTCTCATGGCAGTTTTTGTTTTAAAGTCTAGTTTGTCCGATATAAGTGTTGCTACTCTGGCTTTCTTTTGAGATCCATTTGTATGATTAATGTTTCTCCATTCCCTCACTTTCAATCTGCAGGTGTCTTTAGGTCTAAAATGAGTCTCTTTTAGGCAGCATATAGGTGGGTCTTGTTTTTTTATCCATTCTGATGCTGTATGTCTTTTGAACGGAGTTTAGTCCATTTACATTCATTTTTCAAAAATATTTTATTCATTTATTCATGAGAGACACACACAGAGAGAGGCAGAGACACAGGCAGAGGGAGAAGCAGGCTCCATGCAGGGAGCCTGATGCTGGACTTGATCCCGGGTCTCCAGGATCACGACCTCGGCTGAAGGTGGCTCTAAACCGCTGAACCACCTGGGCTGCCCATCCACTTACATTCAAAGTAATTATTGACAAATATGTATTTAGTGTCATATTATTACTTGCTGTGTCATTGTTTCTCGAGATTTTCTCTGATCCTTTGTCTTTGTCACTTTTGGTCTCCTTTACAGTCACCTTTAATATTTCTTGCTGGCTTACTAACCACAAACTCCTTTAGTGTTTGTTTGTCTGGGAAACTCTTTATCTCTCCTTCTGTTCTGAATGATAACCTTGATGAATATTCTCGGCTACAGATTTTTCTCACCCATATCGTGCCACTCCCTTGTTCTGGCTTGCCAAGTTTCTGTTGATAAAACTCTAGCTAGCCTTATTAGTTTTCTCTTGTAAGTTAAGGACTTCTTTTGTCTTGCTGCTTTTGAGATATTTTCTTTATCATTATATTTTGCAAATTTAATTACAATATGTCTTGGTGTCACTTTGATTTTGATGGGAGTTCTTTTTTTTTTTTTAGGATTTTATTTATTTATTCATGAGACACACAGAGAGAGGCAAAGACACAGGCAGAGGGAGGAGCAGGCTCCCTGTGTGGAGCCCAGTGTAGGACTCGATCCCAGGATCCCGGGGTCATGACCTGAGCCCAAGGCCGACTCTCAACCACTGAGCCACTCAGGTGCCCCTTGATGGGAGTTCTCTGTTCTTCCTTAATCTGGATGTCTGTTTCCTTCCCCACACTAGGGAAGTTTTCAGCTATTATTTCCTCAGATAAATTTTCTGCTGCCTTTTCTCTCTCTTCTTCTCCTGGCACTCCTATAACATGAATGTTATTACATTTGATGGCATCACTGAGTTCTGAACGTCTATTCACATGTTCCATAATTCTTTTTCTCTTTTGTTCAGCTTCATTTTTTCCATTATTTTGTCTTCTAAATCACTTATTCATTCTGTTCATTGCATCAAGCCTGTTTCCAATTTCAGTTATCGCCTTCTTCATTTCTGGATGATTCTTTTGAACTCTTTTATGCTTGTGGTAAGGGTTGCCCTGATCTCTTCCATTCTTTTCTCAAGCCCAGCAAGTATCCTATATGATGCTTTAAATTCTCTATCAGGCATGTTACTCATATCTATTTCATTTAGATCTCTGGCCTTATCTTGTTCTTTTATTTGTAATGAATGCCTCTGTCTTAGAATTTTGTCTAAGTCTCTGCTGCCTTCTGTGTGTCAGAAAGCCTGTTGTGTTACCTGCTCCTGAAAGTAATGGCTTTATGAAGAAGAGGTCATACAGTGTCCCGGGCCTGGTGCTTCAGGGAGTGTGTCTGGTGTGTGCTCCATGCACTTTGCTGTTGTGTTTTGGCTTCTCTATCCTTCAGGCCACTTGTCTGCAGAGGCTCTCCTGCCTGCAATGGGAAGCATTTGGTCCTTGGCTAGAATGTGGCAAGTTGTAACTAAGTGTGCTCTGGTCCTCATACTTCCTCTAGAACTGAGGTCCTGCAGAACTCTCTGGTCAGAAGATATGTGTGGGCAGGGGTTCCTGCTGGCCTTCTGGATGCCTTTTACTGTTTTTCTTATCTAAATGCTGTAGTTGGGACTTCCAATACTACATTGAACAAAAGTGGCAGGAGCGAGCATCCTAGTCTTGTTCCTGATCTTAGAGGAAAAGCTTTCAAGTTTTCACTTTTGAGTATGATGTCAGCTGTGGATTTGTCATGTTGAGGTATACTTCTTCTATACTCAATTTGTTGGGAATTTTTTTTATCATAAATAGATGTTGAATTTTGCCCAATGCTTTTCTGCATCTGTTGGATGATCAAACGATCCATTTTTATCGTATGATTTTTATGTCCCTACTTGTTTTGTTAATGTTTGAATCTCCTTAAGTTTTGGATGTTGAACTATCCTTGCATTCCTGC